TTAAATACGAATGGAACAGCTTTTCTTGTTGTAACTGATCCTCGAGCAACTGGTCGACCACCATGTTGTATTTTTGGAAAACCATGGAGTCCTCCAGCACCAGATTTTATAGAAACAGCTGCTGGAGTTAAATATAATGGTACAGGTGTTTATTATAAACGACCAGTTCTTTGGTGGGTTCTTGATGATCCAGAAGATCCAGCTGGTCCATTTGGTTATTCATTTTTTGAAGATACATGTCGATCATCGGATGATACTGCTGGAAATAAGACGTGTACACCATCACAATTCTTTTTTCGTGCAACAACTGGTTTTGCTAGTCAATTTTTTGATAATTATATTGTTGAAAAACCTGATCCTAGTGTTTTTTCTATCCCAGAATCATGTAATAATGCTAAGGAATGTGATGTTTAGTATTTTTTCTTTAAAATTTCATTCTAAATAAAGATTATCATGACGAATTGAAAAGTTTTATATTTTGAGCAAAAGATTGCATTGATTAGAGACAATCGAAATGATAAAGATTTGTAGATGTGAATATGTCTTTTATATCCAACCCACATCATTTTTTGTCAAAAAGATTATTTTTTTCTTCTTCATGTTTATCTATACAATTAATTTTCAATACAAAACATTTATCATTAACGAAGTTACAATTTCAATTGTTTATTTTTCTCTTCTTTGCTTTTCTATATAAATAATTACACAAAAATTTAAGGAAAGAATTTTTTTTTATTTTATCGACTTTCATTAACTGGTCGTATTAAAGATGATAATTCTTCATCATGTTTTGATTTAAATGAACGATAAATAATAAAGATAAGAAATGTTCCAAATAGAACTATAAATAACATTGAACATAGCATTATCCAAGTTGATTGCAATAAACCACCAGCATATAATGGGCCAACAACGGTTGCAACATTTATTATAAATCGTTGGATACCTTGACCAATACCTTGTTCATCAATACTAACTTGTTGTGTGAATAAACTTGTACTTGTAACAACAACAAGTGGTAGAGCAAGAATATCCAAAGCAACAAAAACAAGAAATATAGGTAGATATTTATGTGAACCTGGCTCGGAAAATGGTAATATAATAACAGCAATTAAACAAGCTAAACTAAGAAGAATATAACCAAATAAAAGTATAGATTGATCAGGACATTTTTTTGTTACATAATGTAATACAACATAGACAAGTGTTATTTCAATTCCGGCAACTGCAAATAAAATTGACACTTCTAATTCATGCCAATTAAATTGTTGATTTGTAAATGGTGTTAATGTTGTTTCAAGTGCTGTTTGATTGAAATACGCGATAAATGAAGTTATTAAAAGTACCTAAAATATAAATATTTAATTAGATAAAGAGTGTTACGAAGAAAAGTAAATGTTTCAAGTGTAATTCAAACAGATTGAGAACAGGAAAATACATTTCCGGACTTTTTTTTTAGGAATTACGTACTATAATCACAGGTTTTTTGCATATTTTACAAGCACGTTTGAATGCTTGGTTAACTGAATAATCATTCATTGAATTTGCTAACGATTTACGATCAGTCTACATTAAAAAAAAAATTAAATATTTTTTTTTTTGAAATTATTTTAAATATAAACTTACTGCAGATAAAGGTAAATCAAAAAAGAAAAATACAGTTAAAAATGCTAATATTATCCATAGAATTGCCATTATTAAACCAGGTGAATTATGCATTGTAACTTGAATACCGAGTAATTTAAAATTCATTTGTTTTAATAAGATTGTCATACAAGGACCAAGTAAAAGACCAATCTGACGACAAGCTAAAAAAGAAGAAGAAGAATGAATTTGAACAATAAACTTTTTCTTATTATTTTCATACCAAGTATTTTTGATAAGAGTTGTGTACGTGTTTTTGGTGTTGATCGTCTTGATATTTCTGCTAATAATGGTGGCTAAAAAAAACACACAGTTCTCATAATCAAATTTTAACTTCTAAAACAATTTTTCTTACAACTAATCCCATACCAATACCAGCAATTAATCGAGATAGAACAACAATATAAATGTTAATACCAATAAAATAAAGTATATTTCCAATTATTTTAAACATAATACCAAAAAGAACAAGTCGTTTTAATGACATGCCAGTATCATTAAGATATCCAAGTATAATACCAGCAATTGCACCTGATAAAGCAAAAACAGATAAAAGCATACCCATAACAAAGCCTCCATAATGAAATTGCATAAATGTATTTATATAACCCCATGCTGTAGGTAAAATAATCGCATAATCAATACCTGAAAAAAGACAAAGACAAAAGTAAAAATTAAAAAATTAATTTTATATTTTCATACCAGTTAAAAGAGCAACTATAGCAATAATTAATAAAGTAGATATTCTTTCTCGACGTTGAATTGGTGTTAAAATATCCATATTATTTTCTGTATTTTGATTAATTGTTTGATAATCATCTTGATTTTGATTAATTCCTATTGTAGTTGAAGAAGTAATATGTTGTTTTGGCGCATCTTCAGTTTTTTCTGATAATTCATGATCTTTTTCTTCATTCGTTGATTGTGCTATTTCTTGTTGATAATTGATATGATCAGTATTCATAATAAATGATAAAATAAAGATTTTTTCTACAAAGAATAAAATACAATGTATCTTTGATAGACAGATAGAACAAAAAAAAAGAAAAGAAAGCCTTTAGGATACTTTACTAATTCTATCCTTTCTTCTTATTCGTCTGCTCGCTTTTCTCCTTTTCTGTTCTCACACAATCATCATGGTAAATATTCCGTACAGAATACTAATACACAGATCTTTTCCTTTCTTACATATATATATATATTTATAGAAACAAAACTAACCTCAAGGGAATATTTTTCCATTGAGATTTTCGTTACTTATCATTAAACTAATGAATATTCTTATGAGAAATATAATTCTCGATAATTTATTCTTTACTTATTTCTTTGTATATATAACTAATTATAATCTTGGTTGACAAAAGGATTTATTTTTACGATAAATGCTTATATTGTTTCACACATTGACCTTGGCATCTAAAATAAATAAGGCATGAATATTAGTTATAATAATAAGATATATTATAATAGACAAATCGAATTCTGCCTATAAGAAAATCTAGTCCAGAATAAATCATTGATACCAGTGTGTACCTTTATCACGTGCTACAATCATATAGAGATTTGTTTTGATTCTTCATTCTCAGCTGCTATCAAACGGCATGGCAAAGAATCGACAAAAAAAAAGATTCATTTTTCGTATGTCTTATATAGTATTTTATTATTACTTCTTCTCTCTCTATATATATATACTATTTCTATATACGATGTATGTCAGAAAGAGTAAGAGAACACATACATACATCGATGACTGACAATAGATTAAAAAATTGGATAGAAAGTCAGAGATACTACCGTTATTCTGATTATAATAAATGATAATAACAAAAAATTTTGAAGCCAATGCACGTTGTTTATTATTGTAATAAAGAGAAGGGAAAAAAAGGAGACTTTGTCATCTATCAAGTTCTATCATTTTGATTAATCTATATTTGCATGTATGTCTATATATGACACAACTATTATTATTTCGAAACCTTTCTAATGATAAAAGAAAAAGAAGAAGAAGAAGCAGAAGAAAAAATGCGAGGGAATATTTTTTTTATCGTAAATGACAAACAAAAAAAAGTTGTAGGAGGATGCAGCTAAAATCATTTCCGTTTTATTATCGCTCCCTAATGTATAGGAAGTGACTTTGGTCAATAGAAACATACCAAGAAAAGATTGAAGAGTAGAATTCTCTAAAGGAAAGACCTCAAACATTTAATCTTCTATCATGATCGAATAGAATATATATATGTTCAAACAGAAACTAATTCTATTATACAAAATATAAGCGTTAAATTATGTTGAATAATCAAAAGTTAATTTTAAATATTTAATCATCTATTAACTTTCTTTGATAAACTCAAGGGTATTACATGAAAAATGTTTGTTCTTATCTCTCTATAGAATACCAAAAAAAAAATATACATCTTTTTTCTTTTTGTGGTCGATAATAGTACTCTCACTAGTCACCTCCGTTCTCGATAAGAATTATAAGTTGCTTAATATGATACTCGAACTATCACAAATGAAGAATTTATTTATATATTTATGGCATATAGGAGTAGTTATTTATAACAATGATTCATATTTACATGTGTAATATAATTAGTAGAACTTCAAACGATAGAAATGAAAGGTAAATGTCTCATAGAATTTTTATAGTTATTATTGATAGCATCAAAAAAGATAAAGATGAGGAAACGCGGATCAATCAATGAACTAAAGTTTATTCATTTTTGTCGTTAATTCTAAGCTGTAAAATATGAAACATATAGATATCTATCATAAATAATTTTGATTGATTGACATACGAAGTAAATGATAGCAATTAACATTAATAATCTATATTGTATATAGTCACTAATTATATCAAAATTTCCTATTTGTAAGAACAAAATTCATTTATTAAATATTGGTTTATCAATGACAAACATCACAAGATAAATACTTTTGCAATTTTCTTTCCATACTGTATACGTTTAAAAAAACATCATTAACTTCAGTTGATTACACATTATCACTAATATTAGATGATGTTTTGTATTCAATGATAACGATTACTTATTGGAATATATTCAATATTTTTAATACTATATCTTTCTTTGAAAATACAAATTATAGCAAATGACAGAAGAACAATAAATTATAATGATATATCGTGGAACTAATCTGACATTGTTCCTATATTAATCAAACTTGTTTATACGAGTACAAAAGAAAAAGTTGACATGATGTATACATATATATAAAATATGGAAAATCAATTGAGACAGTTCATGTATTTTTTTTTGGTTTCATACTGGAAGATTATAAAAATAAAATATTTTTATTTATTAATCAACGTTTGTTTTTGTTATAAAAATTTCATTCTAAGTTATAAAAACTTTTTCATATTGTCGTTTGAAACGACCACGATGATCAGTTAAAAAATCAATAAGTTCTGAACCATACTGTTCAAATAAGGCCCATTTAGTTCTATCCTCTGTTGCTTGATGTCGTGATAGGAAAGTATTTTCTCCTTCATTCAATGCTTCAGATAATTGATTATAGAAAACATTTTTTCGTACATTATTTGTCATATGTAAACCGGCTTCATCGAAATAACGTAATGGTTGATAGGATTCATCACCTTTTCTTGGTTTATGTAATGTTTGTATATCATGTACATGACATGGAGCATAAACAACAGGTCGTTGTTTTTTTTGTGGTTCATCAGAAATTGTTGGTTCAGTTATTTGTCCTTGTCTACGTTCAAGAAATTTCTTTACATCAGTTAATGTCATACCTAAGATAAATAAATTTGTCTAATAAAAATAAATATACGAAAATACTTTGAAGTAATTGATAGACAGCTGCTGCATCTTGTTTAGGTGGCATTTTAGTAAATGGATCACGTGGATAAGCATCAACTAAATCAGTTATATATGGATTTGGTTTAGCATGAGTTGAAACATTCCATTTCGTATTATTTACATAAGTTGGTGGTCGAGTACGTTTTGGTATAAAACGTTTATCTAATAATGATTTTTGATTATTCACATTCTCAGAAGAAATTTCTGGAAGTGTTTTTTGATTTTCAGATTGTTTTTGTTGACCAGTAGGACTTGTTGATTTAGTTCCCAAAAAATAGATAAGAAATAGAATGTAGAGATACATATACATATCTAACACTTACTATCTTTCGATGTCTTATTAAGTGCTCCAGATCCAGTACCGGCATTAACTAACCATTGATCAAACTTTTCCTATATATTCAATGATTAATTCTTGTTTAATTAAGTTAATAATATAAATTACTTCGCCTTTTTCTTCAAATAAATTGGCATGTTCTTGTTTGATTTCAAGTAAAATATCAGCCATTTTTGAATTACGTGTTAAAAGACGTTCTTTTTCTGATAAATGTTTATTTTGATGCCACATAGCAGCTGCAAGTAATTTTGCACATCTTTTATGTCCCCATAATTTAGCAAGATCAAGAGGTGATTGTTTACGACTATCTTCAGCATAAACATCAGCATTACGTGCAAGTAAAAATTCTACACATTGTACATGACCTTCTGAAGCTGCTTGATGCAATGGTGTTAATTGATCATTATTCGTACTAATAAGAAAGAAAAAAGTTTGATTAAACTTTGTATTTGTTCTTTTTTTGTATGAATTTACATATTTATTTGTGCTCCTTTTTCAATAAGATATTGTAAACATTGAAATGAACGTGAACCCGTTTCTTTTGATATACATAAATGAATTGGACGCCAACCTGTTATACTTGGTAGATCAATATCAATATGAACTATTTCAATAAGATATGATAAACAATTCAGGCGACCATGTACAGCAGCAAGATGAATTGGAGCTAAACCCTATAATCAAGATAAAAAAATTAATTTATGAAGAAAATTATTTTTTGAAAAAAAATTATACATCTTTTCCATAAGTTTGTTCTATAGTAATTTCTTCACCACTACCAAGTGGCCCATCTCTTAAACTTTGTTTAAGCCATTGTAGATCTCCAATAGCTGCAGCCATACAACTATCACTAACAGCTCGATTTTTAGCATCAATAATAGATTTTGATGTACGTAATGATGTTGCACGTTCAGAAACTACAGGAGGTTGATGTTTTATTACTGGTACATGTAATTGTCCATTTGTAGGAACAACAAATGGTTTTGCATTAGATTCAAGAAGTGTCGTACGATGTAGACGAAAATTTGATATTGTCTCATCTGATAACATTTCTTATTTTTTCTACAAAAGAAAAATTATCATTATAATCAATATAAAATCAAGGTCGATTATTTCAAAAAAGTATTCTATAATTTTATTCTTCATCATAAAAGATATTCTTAGAATATTTGACATAGGTTATTACATATATTTCTATTGCCTATTGATAATATCCCATATATAATTATGCATATGCCAATTTTTCTACCTACTGTGTAATTATTCTTACTTTTCAATTTTTTTCTTTCGTTGATTTAACCAATGCTTACCAACGGCACTCGTTCTATACAAACAGAAATTAAAAAAGATGATGTGAGAATAACAGAACGTTTCTTCTCTTTTTCTTTGTTTTTTCAAGTTGTTGTTACTATGGTTCCTATACATTCTAGGCGATGTTGCTCTCCTATAGATTGCATCCAATCACATGTGACTGCCTTTTCTATGATGATTTGAACTAATAACTCAGTGCAATATTTATGTTGTCGAATGACAGAACGAAAGAGTTTTGTCGCGAGACATAATATACTGGACTTATTATATATATTCATGTGTGGCTGCTGTAGTTTAGGAATATATACAGATGGAATTAGAAGAGAAAGAAGAAAAATGAGAGCTATACAAAAGGAACAATATCTTGTTCTTCGCCTAGTCTGTCACATTTAACGATTTTTCTTTCTCACAAGAAATCTCTTCGAGTCATAAACATCAATCGTTCGTCTCAATACCTTTCCTCTGCCAAGAAAATAACATTCTATTATATATATAAAAATCACAGCTAATATACAGTCGAGTTTTTGTACATGAAGTATTATTTCAAGGTAATATGCTTTTTCACATTGGACAATATTTGTATAAAATCTCAAGTTTTCAACGATTCTTTTTCTTATCAAAATTGGCATTTTCAAAACTAGCATACTTGTTAACTTGAATTGAAAAATGAAAAATATGACAAATACTATTCTTATTTTTTAGACATGCGTAAAATATACAGACGTCGATTATATTTTCTTTTATTAATTACTTCATTTTTACCAATATGTTTTCTTGTTTTTAATACAATAATTTATCGTCATGAAAAAAATATTATCTCATATATATATGATACACAAACAAGTTGTTTAAATTCTTCAAAAAATTCTATTATTGAATTATCAACAATTCCACCACAATATCTCGTTGTACCTTATCGTGAGTTTGCATTACGTACATCGATTGCTTGTCGAACATTTAAACTCGATAATTCAAAGAAAGATACTGCTAATCTTCATCCAAAATATTCAAAATATTTACGTGGTCGATTTCCGTATGTTTTACCATATGCAAATGTAACATTTAATGATATTGAAAATTTTTATACAAAAATTTTAATAAAAAAAAAATCGAAAGATTCAATAATTCAAACATCATTTGCAGAAAATATTACATTCGAGAATATACCATATAAATTTCAAAATGGAATGTGGTATCCTACTGGAGTAACATCAATTCAACGTACAGCTCTATTAGTACCGTTACAAGGTCGAGAATATAATGCTAAAACATTTCTATTGAATATGCATGCATTTCTTAGACGGCAACAACTTACTTATACAATAATATTTATTGAACAGGTAAAAAATAATACAAAAAAACGAATTAACTAAACTATTCTCTTTCTCGTGGAGAATAGTCCAGTAAATATAAATTGTCTGATTGCTTGCTTGTGTATTCGCAGGGTCAAAAAAACATTGAAAACCGATTTTTCACGTTTTCAATATTTTTTTCAGTAAATGTGAAGAAAATGCATCTCTACGAGAAAGAGTTAAGCGAGTCCTCGGACGACCGTTACTTGTATTTAATGTCAATAAACATTCACTTATTTTTCTTATATTATTATCTTATCAGATCAATCTGCGTTCATATATAAAATTAAGCTTGTTTATAGTTTAACTTGATCCAGCCTAGACTTTTTTTTCTTCATTGATAAACTTTTGGTTGAAGTAAAATACTATTACGTAATCTTTCGAGATCTTTTCATGGCTGATAAATTTATTCACGGAAAATCAATATTGATAGATATATAAACCTAGCCCAAATTTTAATCTTCGTCAATACCATGAATTACAATCGACCTTAAAGTGCACTTTTTTCATCGTTGTTGTTTTTGATGATTACTAGTCATTATTTGCATAAGTACTTAAACAGAATACTTTCTGCTTGCATTCATACCATAAAACTTTTATCCGGTTATTGATAGTCTATTTCATAAAAACTAAAGCAAAAATAAATCTTATTGAATTTTATTTTCAAGATTTCTCCAAATGGTCATCGATTTAATAAAGGTCGATTATTTAATTCTGCTATTCATTACCTTCAAAAACAAACTTTAAATATCACATGTCTCATATTACATGATGTTGATTTAATACCTGAAGATGATGGAAATTTTTATACATGTGAACGAAATTATCCTAAACATACTACATCACGTGTTAGACAACTTGGTAGTACACGTGGTTATACACGTTATTATGAATTTCTAATTGGTGGCGTTCTATTATTATCATTTGATATATATAAAACATTAAATGGATTTTCAAATTTATATTGGGGGTGGGGTGGAGAGGATGATGATTTAGCATTAAGACTTATTCAACAACGAATGTGTGTTGTTAGACCAAGTTATGACTTAGCTATCTATATTGGTAAATTTTAATGAGAAAAACTTTTTTTCTATTTTTATTACTTTATAGGATTACCTCATCCACGTGGTCAACGAAATAATGCTCGTTATGGTTTATTAGCATGGACAACAGTACGTCTTGGTACTGATGGTTATAAACAAATTGAACCATTAACACGAATTATAAATATACATCAAACATCAACCTTAACACATTTGAAACTAGATGTTAATGCTGATACAAATAATTCTCCGTCGCTAAATACAATAACTAAATCCTTAAAACAACAACAACAGCGACTATAAAGTTATTTGAATTCCTATTAGAATTTCTCATATATGAACAATATGTCAGATATATTATTATGAATATTGTTAATGATAATTTATTATATACTACATACGAATGACTCTCAAGAATATTCCAACACTTCTTTAAATATAGTGCTTCCACTATAATTCTACTAATCTATATTGATCATTCGGTTTTTTGCTATAGTTTTGTTATAAAATTTTTTATCTTGTTTTCAATAATAATAATAATAATAGCCTTCTATAATATTTCATATTTAAAGAAATCGTTTATCTTATTCTATGTTTAAATCGAAGTCTGATCAATGATCATTAATTGTATGTATCGCAGAAAACCTTGAAAATCTCTGATGAGATGAAACCATTCAAATAAGTATTGATAATGATTCTTCCTGATATTATATTACGTATAAAAATGAAAAGTATCATTTGATAAGGTCGACAATATAATATATCAGTCAGATTTAATCAGGCATCTTAATATTTCAATACTAATATATAATTCATTACCACTCTGAAGCATCTTGAATAGCCTTATTCTTCTTTTTAACTAGTACGATATCTATTGCGATTATTTTTCATTCAGTTGAATAAATAGTAAATACAATAGACAATAGTCAAACATATTGAACATTATCATAGCTTTACCTCTTGAATCTGTATTCTGTGTAAGATCTAATAATGATGTTCAATCACACTCCTAATATAACATTTCTTTCTCTCTCTATGTATCGACTATGAAACAAATAATCTTGCAAGAGTATAATTCTATGTGACAAATATAATCATGTCTCCGACAGATCTAATATTAATTATATTTAGTTGAATCGACATCAATAGTGTATACCATATATTTTCTATTGTGATGTGATCATTCTAATTTAGTTTTCTATGGATATTATCTGTGTATAGAATCACATTGATTTGTTTTTTATTCAAAAGACGTCTTAGATGTCAATAATGAATAAACTATTTGATAATACAGAAAAAATAGTTAAATTTAATCGAAGTTTATCACAACAATTACAAATCAAATATGTTTTAAATCCCTATACACAATCAGTTATCGATGTTCAACATGCTATTAAACTCGGAATTCTACATAATGGTCATTATCGAAATAAGTAAAATATATATTTATATAATAAAATTTTATTGATTATATTTATTTTTTTCTTTTAGGTCTGGAGATTTAATTCCATTTGTATGTATTATATTAATCATTTATTTTTTTTTCATTCATAATTTTTGTATTTGTAGCATATTGCAGCAAATCAAGGTTTAATAGAATTTATTACTACTGATCAACTTGATTATGAAGAAATGGAAATTGAATATCATTCAAAATTCTGTCCAATTATAACAAATCTTCGTATTGATCAAGTTTATGATCAATATAAACAATGTATGATTACATTTCGACAAGCAATTAATTCTGGTTATCTTGATACAGAATTATTTCTATATTCATGTTCAAATATATCAATGTCGATACATGAAGCTTTTTATCATGGATATATTCTTGGTGAATTATGTACAAATATGAATAAACAAATATTATCATCTCAAGAACTTCTTCGTAATACAAATGATTTTGAATATGAAAATTTATTTACAATTTTAACAAATATTATGAATAGTTTAAATGAATTTATAAATACAATCAATATTATAGATGATTGTCAATTGACAATCGATGGATATATTCAACATAAAACAACAGGCAAATGTTATTTATTAACACAAGCGATGGAACTTGATTTTATTTCATTTCAAGAAGATGTACGATGAAAAGATTCGATTCTAATGATTTTCCTTTTTTTTTAATCAATAAAGTCCATGCGATCATATTCTTATCTGTAGTTAATATTATTTGTAAATTATAGATTCTTTCGTATATATAATCATTTTATTTGTTTGACTTTCTTCTTATATATATTTGATTTGAATAAAAGAAAGAGGAAAGAGGTTGTTGCTGAGAGAAATGACATGTGTAATGGCTACAATCATTGAGTTATTGTAATATATTAGAAAAAGAAATTATTCTAATGGAATTTCCATTTGATATTAACACTGTATTACAACAAGAAATAACGATACTTAATAGTGATTTACAAATTCTTAATTATGGACAAACAAGTAGAATATTGTATGTATAGAATCTATTTATTTTCTTAAAATTCTATTTGTTTTATATATTCTAGTGCTTCTGACAAGCTGACATCTATTATTGATGCAGTTGGTGATGCTTCATATAAAGTAAATTTTATTAACAATTAATCTTTAATCTTCTCCTGTTTTTTTCTATAGGCACAAGGATTACCTGGTGCTATAACAAGTACACGTAAATTTCGTATATCCAATCATCGTTTATATCTCATTAAAAATCCTAATGATCATAAGTAGAAATGAATTTCAATTTGAAGCAAAATATTTTGGTTTTGTTTTATTTTCTAGCAACTTAGGTTCTGTTGTTGGTCTATTAAAAGTTGGTACAAAACGTTTGTATGTTCATGATTCACATGGTCAAGTCCATGAAAGAACTCCATTATGTTTATTAGATTTTTATGTTTCTGAAAATAAGCAAAGATCAGGATATGGAAAAAAATTATTTGAAGCAATGCTTCAGGTAAATTTATTTTTCTAGATTTGTAGATTGTTATTGTTTGTTTAGTTTGAAAAATGTAGTGCATATGAATTAGCTATTGATCGTCCATCTCCGAAATGTTTAGGATTTCTTCAGAAACATTATAATTTATCTGCACCAATTCGTCAAGTGAATAATTTTGTTGTTTTTAATGGATTTTTTAATCGTGCACCTAGTAAACCAAAAAAAAACAAGAAAATTTGATTTTTATTATTGTTCGTTTCAGCTTTACAAGGTCGAAAATCATCTGCATCAAGACAATTTCATGATAATAATGCACCAGTTGATAATTTTCGACGTCAAGAAGTATCATCATGGTTATTACCATCTGAAAAGCAACGGCAACAACAACCAAATCGTCAACTATATCCAGAGAAAACTGATGAATATAGTAATAATCGATTGAGAACATTTTCTGATGAAAATTATCGACAAAATGCTAAACCGCCGATTGGGTAGAAATTTTAATTTCATAATAACGAAAAAAATGAGAATTTTTTGATTTTATTAGAACTTCAACAATTAATAATAATGAACGGAAACTTTTCTCAGCTTATCCATCACCTTATAGTCATTATAACAATCAAAATCCTCCATTAAATGAACCAATTCGAACAAGTATAGATAAAAAACAAAAGCTTCTTGTGCCTTTTATTTCTACTCGTATTTTATTTTCATTTTAAGATTCAATTAGTCATTCAGCATCGCCTGTTGCTCGAACATACACTAGTTTATTCAATGAAAACAAGTAAAATTTCTACTTGATTAACATCAATTAATTCTTTTCTTTTAGTCCCTTTCCAAGTCTTCAACGTTACAATACAAATCCAATAATTACTCCAGATAAACAAACAATATCAAAGTCACCACTAAATTTTACTTATCAAAATTATCAATCAACCACATATAATAATTCTCATCAAAATATTGTTGTTTCTACACCACCACCATCATCTCAACCACTTACTTCAATTTATACATTTCCATCATTAATTAAACCGGCTAGTAATTGGAGTAAACCACCACCAGTACCTCAACATCAACAAAAAGCAACTATGAATGCAGCATCTTCCGGATGGAGACTTTTTGGTGTACCTCATTAACTTAATTGATTCGTATGAAAAATCGTTTGTGAATTTGTACATCTAAGTTATAATTTTATTTTAAATACAAGTGATATAAAAATCATTGATAAAAAATGATTATTATCTTCAATAGATAATTGGAAAATAAAAGAATTTACTTTAAAAACAATGCTGATATTATTAAACGATCTATTTTATTATGTAAAATAATATTTTAAATTGACGGAAAAATTTATTTTCACGTATGAATAATTCATGATCTATATATATGACAGAAGTCATTTAGTAGATGAATTTTAATAATGTAATCATCTAGAAAGAAACAGTGCAAATGAAATCTTCGCTGCTTCTTCCTTAGTAACCATTTGAAGATGCTTTATACAAATAGATAAACTACGATTTAATTTTAATTATTCCTTATCAAATTATAACTAAATAGCGCTGCTATATACTATAAACATATGATGAAATTGAGTTGGATAATTCCTTAAACTTTTGTTTTAATTGCTAGTGACATCTTTCCAGTAATCTATATATATAAGTGAAAAGAAACGAATAAAACTCTCGGTTCGGTTTTTCGTCATACTTCCTAGGCAATGGTCATAATGGATTTTTATTTTAACAAATAATGCCTGAAACATCATCAGTTATAACAACAGTTGATAGTATTCTTTATAAAGATATTGTTAAACTTGTTTTATTATGTACAATTAATGAAGAACCATCAATATCTTCATCATCAGCTGTATATTTACCGGAATTAGTATCATTGGATATTAAAGAATGGACTAAAAGTCGAGTTGATCAAGCATTATTTGAACGTCTTCGAATATCTGATCCATCAAGTCAATTGATAACAACTAATAGAAATGAAATTCTAACTGAAAATCGTTGTTTATTTTATTTATCCGAATGTTATCAAAGACTATTACGAGAACGAGTAAGTTTTTATTTTTCATTGATCATTTTTTATTCAAGTTTTCTATTTAGAATTATCTTCAAGTAATATTCGATGATATTCAAAAGTTACTTATCGATCATAGTACAACAGCAATATTATTACCAGATATGTACAACGATCAAGATTTATCTAAACAATGGTTAGAATTATTGATTGCATCTCATGGTATGAATAAACTTTTGTATTGTTTTCTTTTCTTCTTACGAATAATTTATACTTAGATAATTCTTTATTATGTAAATATACTGATCATGTTAATAATGAATTATTATTATCAAGCAAGGATGAAATAAAACTATTTTATAAAAATGTCTTTCGTCATATATATAAAGCTATTCAACCATTGGATTATTTTTCTAATGAATTGATTTCATATATTGATATATTAATTCATTTATCACAATGGTCAGTACTTGTTCAAGTATGTAGAAAAAACAAATAATTTATTAAAATATTTAATTATATTTTGCTTAGATTATCTTTGAAATTTCTCATCCAAAAACAATATCGAATCGTTCTTCAAGATCTTCTGATATGCAATCAGCAGGCGGTCGAGCATTTCAAGATACATTAATTGGTAGCCTTCTATCAAAATCAACTTTACCATCAATACCAGGCAAACCTTTCGTATATTTTGATAAACCTAAATCAATGAATGAACGTGATCTTGAAATAACTACTAGAACAATATGTCAGCCGATGAAAATATATCAAGATTATTTATCAAGATTATTTAAAGTTTTTGTTAAAAATGCAGATGTACGCAATGATGTTTTACAATGGATCGGAGATTGTTTTTATGAAAATCAAGGTTGTTATTTTTTAGGAAATATTTATATGAGATTTTGTTTTTTTAGGAAAAAATAAAGAATGGTCATCTCATGATCCATTAATACAATATGCATTTGTTAGCGATGGTTTTTTACTTAATTTAAATATTGTTTTACTTAATCTTGTAAAACCATTTGCTGAACCATATTCAACAAAATTATTAAAAATCAATCCTTTGTATAGTATTTGTCAAAATGAAACTGTTCATTTAAAAGGTATTTTATTTATTTAAAATGAATTATTTTTGATTAAATCTATTATTTTCTAGAATTGTATAAAGAAACACGATTGATTAATTATGAAGGAGAAAATAAAGATGAAATAATGTTTAATTTTATCACTGAAAGTTTTTATATGTCACATCTTTGTTATTCCTATTCAGTACATAGACTTCATCGAATATTACTCAAAGTAAATTTTCAACGACAAAACAAAAATAAAAATAAAATATTTATTTAGATTAGTGATGAATTATCACGTATACGAGATGCTATAAAATCTCATGGAATTAATCATGAAAATTCTAAACGATTAGAAGAATCAATGCAAAAAGGTATGTAAGAAATACAGGGGCGTAGCGAAGTCTCCAAGGCAGGGGGCGCAACACCCTTAAAAAAACGTAAAAACCCTAGTCGCTACGCCCCTGTAAGAAATATTGTTATCATTGTTATATATTGGTATCAATAGGTTTAACTGTTTTCTTCAATATAAAATGTGTATTGAACGAACCTTGTCTGTTGGAATTATCAAATGCATTATTTACAGCAACATGTACATGGCTTGTTCATCTCGCAGTATGTCCTAATCAAAATAAGAAATTAGAAGAGCAAATACATGTCATTACTAAATTACCATTAACTTCGGAACCAAATCAACAATTAAGTTATGTTCCAGAATTTATTATAGAAAATATAATTGGATTTATAAAGTTTATTAATCGATATAATAAACAATATTTTCAAGTAAAAATTCTTGGTTCCCCATTTCTTTTTTAATATTTTGTCTAAAAGTCAATAGCACCATCAATTAAAGAATATGTCGATCTTATACTTGTATTTATGGGTGATGCAAATCGTTTACGTAATCCTCATCTACGTGCTTCATTAGCTGAAGTACTTGAAGCTATTTTACCGGACAATGATAGCCGAACATTGAATAAGTATATCGAAAATATTCAATTGATTGTTTTCTATTTAATTAATTCTATTAGTTCATTTGCTGAAACAATTTTTAAAGAACATCCATTGATCGAACATTTACCACGTGTACTTCTTGATGTATTTGTATCGATCGAATTAACTGGACAAGCTGTAGCATTCGAACAAAAATTTAGTTATCGTCGTCCAATGTATGAAATACTTGAATATATGTGGAAATTTGATAAACATCGAATACAAATCCAAGTTAAAAAATTCAATATTTGATTTTTCGAATAAAATTCTTTATTTTAGAAACTTGCATCATATGCAGAACAACATATTGAAGATGCTGAAGCTCCATTATTCTTACGTTTTATTAATTTATTAATGAATGATGCGAATTTCTTATTAGATGAAGCATTAACAGTAGATATAGTTTTTAGGAAACAAACAAAATAAGATTTGTCTTTTTATTTATTTAGTATATGGCACGATTGAAACAAAATCAAGAAGAAAAAGAACGTGATGAATGGAATCAAATGTCTGAAAGACAACGAGAAGAATTTGAAAATACATTTCGACATACTGGTCAAATTGCTCGTTATATGAATATAATGAGTATTAAAACAGTTACTATTCAAACTGATTTCAAATCTTTACAATTTTTAATAGATTTTATTTTATAGTTAATTATTCTTAATATGATAACACAAAATATACAATCGATATTTTGTCATCCAGCTATTTGTGAACGACTTACTGCAATGCTCAATTATTTTCTTCAACATCTTGTCCGTTATAATACTTTCTATTTTTAAATTATTATTATTGTATTAATATATAGGTTGGACCTAAACGACGTAATTTAAAAGTTCGTGATCTAAATGAATATTTATTTGAGCCATCAAAACTTGTGGCTAAAGTAACTGATATTTATCTAAATTTTGCTGAATATGATCAATTTTGTTCAGCTGTTTCAAATGATGGAATGTAAGAAAATATATAACATTAACAATATACGTATAAATTATTCTAAAAAAGGTCATATAATGAACAACTTTTCCCACAAGCTATTGAAGTACTCGAACGAATTCGACATCCACGTGAGAGAATCGATGCATTTCTTAAACTTGGCGAACATATTAAAGTAATATTTCTCTTTCTCATTCGTTTTATAGTTCATTGTATTTTCTTTCAGACAATTGCCGATCAACATAAAGAAGATGATGCTATATATAGTGATGCACCAGAAGAATATATCGATCAAATTAGTTCTATATTAATGAATGATCCTGTCATGTTACCAAGTTCTCGAACAATACTTGATCGTTCAACTGTCATTCGACTTCTACTTGAGTATTTATTTAAGATTTTATTATTAATTCAAAATATATTTTTTAAATAGTAACCAAATTGATCCATACACGCGTGATCCATTACATATGCAAGATGTAATACCACAAAATGAATTGAAACATAGTATTGAACAATGGAAGGCCTCTCGACGTAGTTAATCAATATGTTTTTTATAATACTGAACAGAATTTTTGTTTTTTTTAATTAAGAAAATATTTTTTCATATATTTATATTTTTTAATTTGAGATTATGTATATATTACTTATTCGAGATATTACTCATTGGATAAAGTTTTTTTTGAAAATATTTGGGTGTGTATAATAAATAAATTCAGTTAATAAAAAAAAAAGTTTATTTCATATTCAAAAAAAAAACAAAATAGACACAATTCTTTTGGAGATCTGATAATATTTTTTTATAGAATTTTACCTCGTTCTTCATCTTCACAAACACAACAAGCAATGGCTTCTCGTATTACTCTTTCACCAACCATGAAGAATTTTATTCGTTGTGCTGGATTATCAGGTTCATTGGCAATAGGTTTAGGTGTCTATGGAGCTCATGCTATGAAAGATGATACTCCTGAAGAACTTAGACGAGTATGTGAAGACATTATTCAATTGTATTCTTATTGATTTTTATTTTTTCTAGTTATTTCAATTGGCTCAAACATATCATTTACTTCATTCTGTCGCTTTACTTGCTGTACCATTAGTCTCACGACCCATCATTACAGGATCATTATTTCTAGGTGGACTTTCATTTTTTTGTGGTCCAATGTATTATCGTGCTATAACAAATGATCCACAATTTCGTCAAATCACACCATATGGTGGAGCTCTTCTTATAGCTGGATGGTTATCGATTGCATTCCTTTAAAAAAAATAGTTGATAGAAAATAAAATTTATTTTAAAATCTTTTTTGTTTTTGATACTACTGCAATGAATCAGTATATATCTTATATAATCTAAATGGAAATGTTCAATAGTATTTCCTCATGAGATTATAGAAAAAATCAACTTATTCATTATTATGTCATATCCAATGTTGTTCAGATACATTGAATTTCATTAATACTGGTCCCATACTATCGAATGGTTGTAAAGCAATCCCAAGTGGTCGATCGATTATCATTTCGCCAAGTTTTAAGAAGTTCATTTTATCATCATAAGGATCAGTTTGTTGAAAAAGTTCATTGGGAATTATATTTCTTTCTTCTAAAGATCTTATTTTAGAATCTGATATAGATGGTTCTGTTTCTTCGATAGTAATTTCATTTCCAGATTGCGAAATATTTGGTATAGAAGTTGAACAAGATATCATTTGCATTTGTGTTGAAGGATATTGTTGAGATTTAATAAGATTAACCTTTGAGAAATTTTTTAGTAAGCATGAATAGTAAACAAGATAAATAGTAATAAATAATCCACTGATTAATAGAATAATACTGATAACTATTAATGCAATAATCATAAAATCCAGTTTGAATAGAATGTAAAAAGGCGGTAAAATTTATTGAGATACATTTAAATTTTGCTTATATATTAAACATATAAATACATAATATCGTACTTACACATTATTGCACAAAACAACATCAAAAAATATAATAAATATTTTGTAACGATCTATATGACATATACAGACAAAACGATATGGAATGTAATTAATTAACGTAGATCATTCTCTTCATCATCAAATTGCATGGGTTTAACTCCGGACGTTGTTGTTTTTTGTTGTTGTTGTTCATCTTCTTTCTTTTTATCTGGAAGAACCCATCGTTTAATTAAACGAACAAATTCTGGTTCAATTGCCATAAAATATCCTCTCTATAATAAAAAAATATCCTATTTTTCTAATTTATCAAAAAACAAGAATAAAAATTTACTCGACAACGTTTACTAATTAATTCTTTATCATCTTGATCAAAAGCATCAAGTAATATTTCAATATAATCTCGTTCTTCCCATTGATCAAATGTTGGATAATTTCGACAAGCTTGATCAAATATATTTCTCCCGGCTACACTATCTTCATTAAATAATTTAAGTAATATTCTATAAAGTATAACACGATTAATACGATCATAACGTTCTAGTGTTGTTAAAAGATTTGTAACTGTTTCAAGTAATTCAGTTGTTTTAGGATAATCTCCTGTTCGAAGAATTTGCATAGCTGCTTTTTCATATAAATCAGCAGCTTGATCTGTTTTATCTTCTTGGTCAGCTAGACGAGCTCCTTTAAGATAAAAATCAATAGCTATTGTACGATCAAATTGTTGAAATTGTGTAGCACATCGTTCATAAAGTATTGCCGCTGAATCTCGTTGACCTACACAGTAGAAAAACAAAAGACAATGAATAATAATTTTGATGCGTGCGGGCAATCTCTCATATATTACCTCCTCCAACGTATAATTGTCCTGCTTTATCAAAATATTTTGCAGCGGTTGGTAAATCTTGTAATTGTTGCGTCATTTGTGCTGCTTGTTCATAAGATTTTCCCGCAAAAAATGTACTTCCTTTTTGTATTTGTAATTCAGCTAATTTTAATGCTAAATCTCTACATTGTTCATATTTTTCTGCAATACGATAGCAAGTACAAGCTTTATCATATTCTTCAATAGCTGAATCAAGATCTGGTTTCCATTTCGTTAATGATGTTTTTAAATATTTTTCTCCTTGTTTTACATGATCTTCTGCTTCTTTAATTTTAGCAGAAAAATTTATATTAAACATTTTTCAGATCTAAAAGATAGAATAATCATTTTAAAGATAACAAAAGACAAAAAGAAAAAAACACGCCTATAGTTTTCTCTTTCGAGTTTATATTATATAGTAAAAGAAAAGTCTAATATATTAAATGATAATTTCCATTTCACGTGCATATTGAATCATTTGTGTCGCGATTTCATCAGCAGGCACATGTTCATTATCAGGTTTTGTTTGATTATTAACAAAATGAAATAATTGATTCGCATCTGATTTCCATCCATGCTGAAAAATAAAACAAATGTTTCAAATTAATTAATATTTAGAAAATAATACGCATACCTTTTTGGCTATTTCATTTAATTCTTCTGCTTTATTTAAATAAAGCATACGTGCAGCTTCTTTTAATGATATTTGTTTATAGGATTTTTCCATACAAAAAGCAATTTCATCACTAAAATTTTAATGATTGAAGTAGAAGAAAAATATTAAATAGAATATTTACCGAATTGTATTAAGAAGAATATCCATAAAGAAAGTAAAAAGTGGTGATGGAACATTTCCTTTTGCAAGAAAAACCTGAGATAAAATATATTTCAATAAACAGAAATATAATTCAAAAAAAAGTACCTTGTTATAACTTCCTTCCATTAAATATTGTTCAAGTGAAACAGGATGTTTTATATATGGATTTGTTTGTATATCTTTTGGTGAAAGTAATTCCAATTCCTAGAATGAAATGTCAATGATATATAGATATACTTTAAAAATATTAATTACTGTATGAAAATCAGCAAGACGATTTTGTGAAAGTAAACATAATAAATTTAAACCAAGTAATAAATAACGATATGGTGATTCAGGTATACGATTTCTTAAGAAAAGAAAATAATATTTTGTAAAAAAAACGAAAATTTCATAGATTTACTCAAGATCGAAATAAAATGGTTTAAGTTGAGCAAGTGCACGTTCAAATGCTGGTATATCTCCTTTTTCAATTGCACATTGTGCAGCTATTTCAAGTGTATCACCTATTGAACAAAAAAAATTTTTTAATTAAACAAGACAAAAAAATTGAAATAAAACATACGTGCAATATGTAAACCATGTGTATCTTCATTAGAGTCAGATGGATAGAATCCACCTTCGGCAAATAAATTCTAAATAAAAAAAAATAAAATAAATTATTTTATTAATAAATAGATAATTACTTTTAATCCAGTGAGTAATTCATCAGTTTTACCAACATTTGGTGGTTTACGATTCCATTCATTTTTTAGTTTTTCATACAATGGTATAGCTTCTTTTAATTTACTGTCCATTGTCGTTATTTATGCTATTTAATATCTAAAAAAGACTAAAAAAATTTATTATGATAGATTTTTGTATTTGTTTGTCAAATGATTGAGTTTGAGCTTTTGTAGGATAAGAATAAATAAAAGAATAATAATACATTTTCTTGAATACTATTGGACTAAAATATCTATCTGATATAAATACAAAGTGCTATTGATTATGAGCTCCATCTATTGGAAGTTCTTTCATTCTATGTTTTATTTTAGTATCCCATCGATGTATATTCGATCAAGTCTTACATGATATGTTAAATCAATAAAAGAACAGATTTATATTAAAATCGACTGTTTTTTTAGAATGTTGACATTGATTTCGAAAGATTTGGTAGAACAATTGATTCATAAATCGATTCAAAAATTTAGAAATAATTAAGAGAGAATATCTCAAGTGCAAATGTCATAGATATCGATAGAATTCATTCATGTTTATTGTTTTGTTCAAATTATGATGGTAAATAACCATGTATTACTAATCTTAAAAAATCAACCGAATAGCCGCATATCTTTTATTAAATTCTGTAAGCTGCTCATAGAAGTATAATTCAATTACAATTTAAACCATAGAATCATTCATAGATCTATACGTCCGAATCTCGTACTGAATTATACGGTCAGACGGTGCTAATTTGCTAGATCTCATGATTTGATCGTATCTATCTATCTGAGTTATTCTATTCAAATAAATTGGTCCACCTAGTTTTATATAGAACATAGATAATAATAGTATTTCTCTTCATTGAATAAACCATTACACTTAAAGTTCGTTTTTGCACTAAGAAATTCCACGAAAGTTACAACATCTACCTATAGATGTCGTGGAAAAGCATGAAATGTGAATGTATCAATATTTTTATGATTATATATTTACTCCAATCCAATTCTTCTAGTTATACGGCATCAATCAACAAAATTTATCTATTTCAGTGTTTCTTTGAAATTACAATCATTTTCCTATTTCGATATTATTTTAAATGGGATCTGTAGAAAAAGTAGTTGGAAGTGATATAGTTATAATATGGCTTGATGATCATATTGGTCAAACTAATAATTGTACTGGACTTAAAGAAGAATTTCAATCTAATACAACTAATATTTATCTATTTCATGACGTTGATCAATGTATTAAATTTGTGCAATCAATCGAAAATAAAAAACTTTTCTGTATTATTCAAGGTAAACATGCAAAAACAATGATACCACATATAGAAAAAAAATCAAATTCACCGGTGGTTTATATTTTTTGTTTCAATACACTTGCTCTTAGTGAATGGGCCCAAAATTACGATTGTATACTAGCTGGTGGTATATATGATCATGACAAAGATCTTTTAGCCAGATTAACAAAAGATTTGGCTGATTATGCTGCTATAAAAGCTCAGGAATATAATTTCAAAAGACAAGCATGTGTAGAATGGGCAGAAAATTTAACCAAAAATGCAAAACGATTTCGTACTGAACAGTGTACTTTAACATTTAGCACAGATCCGACTGATGATAATAAGGAAACAACGTGTGAACAACCAGAATGATAAATATTTTTGTTTTGAATAAAATTATACTGCTTTTTTAATTAAATTTTCCTAGTTACTAAGATAGTATTTTTCTATAGAAATCGAGATGAAAAGAAAATTATATTTTCACAAAAAACAATTAATTCAAACAAATTCAAATAATAATATTAAACAACCAAGAAAATATTTAAGTTATAAAAATAATATAGCTAAAGTATATGAAGTAAATACTCATGGAAAATTTACAATAATAATTCGTAGATCATTTATTCAATTACCTATTCATTCAACAACAAATATGAATCCATGTTATTCATATGATTTATTATCTCGATGTGATTCAAAACTATTTTTACAATCAAATTTAAATAATAATCATTATTTAGTTCGAAATAGAAAAGGAAAAACATGGAGATCGATGTATGAAAAATCGAATACAGAGACAGAATCATCGACATTTATTGTTCATAGATGTATGTTCAATAAGAGAATTCTATTTCATATATTGAGTTTCTTGGTATATCTATTTAGCTACAACACAACATCAGAATGATCATAAGAAATATTCATCTTGTAATTTTTACATAGTATATTAAACTGTAAAGAAAAGAATCAAATCATTTTGATACAAAAAAATTGACAATTTTCTGAATCTTCTTTTAACCTATCCAAAGTGTTGATCGTCGAGTATAAAATATGAATTACTTTTTTGTTCTATGTTCAAATTTATTTCTCAATAATACTATTTAATTTTGATTCTGTATCAATATATATCAAAGTTGAAATCGATGAGAAACATTAATGTATGGTGATATCATGATTATAATTATCATTATAATCAATAGAAGTATTCAAAGAGAATATTTTGACTTTCTATACTTGAACCAATTGAGTTCATACTAAATTTATTTAAATATAAATACAATCTAAGAGAATATATTGACTATCTATTTGATTAAATTAGTATTATCAGTCTTAAAGTTTTTAATTATGCATGATTAAAAATATAAAGTTCTCGATAAACGAATTTTTAACACGGTAAACGTAGACAGAATTCTTGTCCTATTGTATGTAGTTTACATTTTTGTGCTTTTTGTAACTCATCAAAAGCTTTTTTTTTATTTAATACATTTTTAAACCATTCAGTATAATCTGGACTTGTTGCTTGAACATAGTTTGAAAACTGTGTCTCTTCACAAATATCACTATTGGATGAACTAGCAACAGCAAGTACACACCAATGATCCGTTGATTTTGTATATTGAAATAATCCACTACCACTATCACCAGAACATGCGCTAAAAGAAATAAAGAATTTATTTTATTTAAAATAAAAATTATTTTATAAGTTAATTAACCCCATCGGACTGGTATTTGGTCGACTTTGAACACATACGTCTGTATGTCTATTTGATCCTAAGCACTTTGATTTATCAGTTAAAGCCACTTGAGCATGTTGTAATGCTTCTGGTATAATATTTTTATTTTTTAAACCCCAACCAACCATCCAATAATCAGCTGTATTCGATGATACAGTTGCATTTTTAATATTATTTGAATTACATATATCAATTGTTGATACACGTTTTGGTGGTGATAGAACAGGTACAGGTTTAGCAAGACGTATTATTGCTAAATCATTTCGATAATAATTTGATGATGAATATGCATGATGAACACAATAGAAACTAGGTTTTACTAGTTCACCTTCATTATATTTATGACTACCTACACGTACAGTCGTATAACGAATACCAATACAATGAGCAGCAGTTAGAACATGTTGATTATCAATTAATGTACCACCACAACGATCACGATCGTTTCCCTGTAATGCTACAGCCCATGGATATTGATCCGGATCTGTATCAACACCAAATGATACATGTAATGTATGCTCATCTGGTTTAGTAACTAGAAAAGTTAAATAAAGATATAATCAATAAGTTAACATGAACTATATGTGAATAAGAAAGAAATGGTTTACCATTGTCAACATGTTGTAAAGGTTTAATATGTTGTTTTTCTTCATTAATTGTATAATCTGTTGTTGTCTGCGTATTATTATCCAACAAATGAGACATCATTATTGTAAGACGTTTAAGTGCAACACGATTTTCTTCAGCAATATCGGTTAATAAACGTGTCTGATAAATTTGATAATCAATTTTATCATTTAAAGATGTAGGTAATGGTATTGTACTAACTTCTACATATGAATATCATAATTAAATAATAAAAAAACAATTATTTTACCTGAAATTTGTGTTGTTAAAGATGTTGTTTCTGTTATTGCTGTAGTATTCAGATCTTTTTTGGTTATTGTTGTTGTGTTCAGATCTTTCTGGGTAGCTGCGGTTGTGCTCAAATCATTTTTGGTTATTGTTGTTGTGTTCAGATCTTTCTGGGTAGCTGCGGTTGTGCTCAAATCATTTTTAGTTATTACTGTTGTGCTCAGATCTTTCTGGATTGCTGTTGTGCTCAAATCCTTTTGAGTTGTTGCTGTTGTGCTTAGATCTTTTCGAGCAGTTGCTGTTGTGCTCAGATCATTTTTGGTAATTGTTGTTGTGCTTAGATCTTTTTGAGTTGTTGCTGTTGTGCTCAGATATATTTTAGTTGTTGTTGCTGCTGTTGTACTAGTTTGTACTGTACTATATGATGTCGTAGCTATTAATTTTAATAGTTAATAATATAGTTATTAATTAATATAATATAGTATTAGAAGATTTACCTGCAAATGTTGAGCTAATAAGTATGAACAATAGATAAACGCTTTGATTCATATTTGTAAATGAAAAACAATTCTTGTTTCTATATCCTAGATAAACTGACTGATAGAAAAACAATTATTGTTTCTATATCTTAAATAGAATAATTGGCAGAAAAACAATTACAGCTGTTTATAAAAACTAAAGTAACTGTCATAGATATCATTTAAAATGACATGTCATTTTCTGATTGACATCATAAACTAGATTTGAAAATTGTCCGATTACAAAATATTATTATAAAAAAATATACTATTTCGATTTTAAAGACCATTGGTTGTAATTGCAAAGAATAGTTAATATTAAACAATGATCTAAATAGTGTAGAATAACATTTCTTCAGTTCAATATTACAAATGATGAATATACATAATTTAATATTTTATCTTAATCGATTTCATAATAGTATGAAGCAAGAATATTCAAGAAATGTGAAATATTTTAATTTTATTTCAAACTAATATATATCAGAAAATAAAGAACATATTCGAAGATAAAAACTATATTTATGCCATAACAGATCATATTATAACGCATATAACATTGTACAATATAATGTAATAAAAAAGTTTAGAAAGAAATATCATTCTTGTTATTATTCTCTAGTATAAGCAGTTATACAAAACTTCATCAGCGGCTCTCAACAAATGAAATGATCGAGTAATAGCAATTTTTTTGCACAAGGTAATACTGCCTTGATTCTCTTAGAATTTCTTAAACTTTTATATCCACTTCCACTGAATCATTCATCAATCAATCTTCTATCAATTATATATATCTCAAACAAATATAAAATTTACAACATATTTGTGAAAATCATTCGATTTAAATTTACATATTATTCAGTTTATGATTATCTACATTTCAATTCTATGAAGTATGATAGAATGTCTACAAAATATTGTCAATCATCAATTTCAAGCATATTACTTTTCCACTGACATCAACTTTTATGATTTACTCTATAGTGATTAGTAGCCACATATGAGTTAGCTTCACTTTTCTAAACAGCGGCGAACCTGCATATAAGATTTCTCTTATGCCATGATTATTAAAACAACAAAGCGTTTCCTTCATGTTTACTCAAACATGATATTTTATTTCAATCATAAAATCTATGACATCAATCTCAACAGTGTTTAACGACCACCAACAAGGGTAC